ACAGGCATGTGCCACCATGCCCGGCTAATTTTTGTATTTTTACTACAGACGGGGTTTCACCATGTTGGCCAGGCTGGTCTCAAACTCCTGATCTCAGGTGATCTGCCCACCTCAGCCTCCCAAAGTGCTGGGATTGCAGGTGTGAGCCACTGTGCCTGGCCTATAGTAGGTCATTTTCTATAGATATAGAGGAAATTGAGGAACTCAACATACCAATGAAGAGATAGGCTTTTCAGGCTCACTCTGATTTGAGTTTTGGTCCCATCACTGAATGTAGCCATTTGGTCCTGGACAATTCAGCCTTGTAGAACCTCAGTTTCTTATCTGAAAAGTAGAATAATAATAGCAACTTATTATGGTGTTAGGAATGAATGGACGAATGCCTGTAAAGTACTTAACACAGTGTTTGCTCAACTGTAACCTTTGTTTTGTTGGGACTTTTGTTGAGCCAGGGTCTTGCTCTGTTGCCCAGGCTGGTCTTGAAGTCCTTGGCTGAAATGATTCTCCTGTCTTAACCTCCCAAGTAGCTGGGATTATAGGCGTGTTACTGTGCCCAGCTATTATGGCCTTTATTTATTGATAGAGCAGCTAGTGATCAGTCCTATTCCTTTATTTTAAATTATGGGATAAAACTTTTACCTAATAATGAGGATGTGAATGTATGTCTGGGCTAGTTAATGTCCCAAAGCCTTCTAAGTTTTATTTTATTTTATTTTATTTTATTTTATTTTATTTTATTTTATTTTTTTAAGATGGAGTTTTGCTCTTGTTGCCCACACTGGAGTGCAGTGGCACCATCTTGGCTCACTACAACCTCCACCTCACAGGTTCAAGCGATTCTCCTGTCTCAGCCTCCTGAGTAGCTGGGATTACAGGCACTCGCCACCATGCCTGGCTAATTTTTTATATTCTTATTAGAGATGGGGTTTCACCTTGTTGAGCAAGCTGGTCTCGAAGTCCTGACCTCAGGTGATCCACCCCGCCTTGTCCTCCCAAAGTGCTGGGATTACAGGTGTAAGCCACTGCCCCCGGCCTTCCTGGCCCCTTCTTATCATTTGTCCTTGTGCATTCCTTCTTTCTAGTCCCAAAGGCTGCCATCCCAGAACAGTTTCTTAGCCCTGCATGTCTAGTTGTGGCAGTTACATCTCCACCTCCATTCTCCCATCCAGACTGCAGTTTGCCCTGGAGCACACTTACTACAGCACAGCTTGGATCATGCTGCTCCTCTCAACTGTTTACCTTGCGTAATGAAGTCTGTAGGCCTCAGTTTGGTATTCAAGGCCTTTCCTAATCTAATCTGCAATGTAAGAGCCTCCAGGCCCTCATCACTGTCCTTTCCCTTTAGCCTGGTCCTGCCTGTGCAACAAGCTGTTATTGTAGAAGTACAGTTTGTTAGAGCTGAAGTGGCCCCAAGAAACCACCAGATCAGTCTTCCTCAAATTGGTGTATCCAGAGTCCAAAATACTCTCCCCTCAACCCCAGCCTTGGAACCCTGGAGATTCAAGCACACATTGACACATCTCAGGTTCTGAAAAGTCTTGCAGTAAAGAAACCTGCTTAACCAGTATCTGTGAAGCATAGTTAATGATGGAACTTTTTGGTTTCTTTTTTTCTTCTTGGCAGGTGGAGAGTCAAGTAAAAACTTTGTAAAGTACTGATCTTTTTTTGGCATTTTGTTTTATTTTATTTTATTTATTTATTTGAGACAGAGTCTCGCTTGTTGCCCAGGCTGGAATGCAGTGGCACAGTCTCTGCTCACTGCAACCTCTGCCTCCTGAGTTTAAGCGATTCTCCTGTCTCAGCCTCCCAAGTAGCTGGGATCACAGGCCCATGCCGTCACGCCCAGCTAATTTTTTGTATTTTAGTAGAGACGGAGTTTCACTGTGTTGCCCAGGCTGGTCCCGAAATCCTGAGCTCAGGCAGTCCATCCACCTTGGCCTCTCAAAGTGCTGTGATTACAGGCGTGAGCCACCGCGTCTGGCCCCTTTTTATTTTATTTATTTATTTTATTTATTTATTT